AAAAAGATTTATTTGAGTTATGCATGCAAGAGCTGGGGTACAGGACAGTGATGCAGGACATGAGAGGATTCACCAGAGACAAAGTAGGGAGTAGAACAGGTGAATCTACTGAAATCCACTGCTGAAGGGTGCAGCAGGGAGACAACAGAGGTCTGCTGTGCCCTGTGGGTCACTCCCGTGCTGGGACAACTAGTGCTGCAGTGGCTGGGGACAGCTTCATAGTGCTGAGACTAACCCTTGTGCCAATCAGGGTTTTTTAAAAAAAATTTTAAGACTTATTTATTTATGCAGGGGCCATGAGAGGATTCACTAGAGACAGCATGGGAAGCAGAACAGGCACATGGATGAAGTACACTGCTGAAGGAAGCAGGTCCACTGAGTCATTTTTGGTCACCTCTGGGGTGGGGATCGAACTCCAGTGAAGTGGCTGTGGTCATTGGAAGTGATGTGTCCTAACCCATTAGGCCACTAAGGAGGGCCCCAGGAAGATTCTTGAGGACTTGTCCTGCCTCTGAAGAAACAACCACAAACAGAATTGAAATACTTTATCTATCATACTTTCAGAAACTGAAGTTCCCTCTAAAAATCTAATCATTTACCATTTGATACATTATTACATTAATGGTTTGACACAAGCTATGCGTCGGCTATGGTCTGACAGATTCCGGGTAGCTCTGGAAAAGCTCTGAAAGATCAGACTTTCCATGCTAACTTGTGTTATGACCTCCCTTTTTTGTATAGTCGTAATATCAAAATATTCTGAGCAACTTTCAGCCTACAATTGGGTTGCCTCAGCCGCATAAGGCCTGCCTGCCCTGACAAGCAAGCACTGCACCAGGGTGAGACATTCCTCTGAAGTCAAAAGTGACTTAACAGTTGGCTGATCAATAAAAGCAAAAGGGCTGTTTCTGCAAAGACTCTCACTGCCGAAGGAGGAAAACCCAAATCTTATTCTACTATCTCACCAAGCTCCTATTCAGCTTCTACGGAATTACTCAAACTTCCTACTGTCTGGCTTTAGATATGGAAATTCATCCAGGTCGCCTGTTTTAGAGCTAGTCAAGTTTTTACCTGCTACACTTCAAAGCAATCCACAAAAGTCTTTCTGGCTAGTCTTTCAGGATTCTACTATCTAGTCTTTAGATAAGGAAATTCACCTACGTCTCCTATTCAGAGCAAATTATGCTTTCTACTGCCTAGACCTCAAAGTAGAAAACTTACTTGAAACCTTCTAGCAAGTTTCCTCAAAGTAGAAAACTTACTTGAAACCTTCTAGCAAGTTTCCTCAAAGTAGAAAACTTACTTAAAACCTTTTAGCGAGTTTCTTGATTAGCAAGAAATTTCCTCTTCCTGCCACCCCAGACCATTTTCTTAGAAAAAAGGTGATTGTGACCCCAACCCCTTTCGTATGCTAATGCCATCCCCCTGCCTGCTGGAAATGTATAAAATAAACCTCTGCTGAAGGCAGAGCAGGAAGATTTGCACCCAACTTCGACTCCCGTGTCTTCCTCACTCCCACTCCTCTCCCCCCCTCTGCACGCAGACGCCTTCCCATCTTAGGGTCCTGCCTGTGTTGCCTCCAGACACCTCAAAAGTTGGAGCTGGTCTCGGACAATGGTTAATTATCAGTTCATACAGCTATTAACATTCAACTTATCTGAAGCAAAGTTTCCTTATTTAATCTGCGTTGAGTGCTTAACAGGGTATCCTGGAATGTTAGGTACCCTTTTAATCTTGCCTGTTGATCGTTTTTCTGTTCTGTGATTTCCTCTACAGTTTCACTACAAAGTTAATTACATGAACATAGCTTTGCTTAAGATTAAAACAAATATAGGAAATATGATGTATAAATCTGCCTGTGTGGATCTTTGGATCTTGACTCAACAAAAACAGTCGGAAAACATTTTGGGAGAACTGGGAAATTTTGATTATTGATTTTGTGTTAGATGATACTTAGAAGTAAATTTTGTTAGAGGTGATAAAGATCTAGGGATATATTAGAAAGTGTCCTCAGGGGCCCTCCCTGCTGGACCCTCAGGTTAAAGTGCAGCACTAAGAAGCTATTGGCAGTCACTGCAGCAGGAGTTTATGCCAGGGAGTCACCCTCAGGGTGCAGCAGACCTCTTCTGTTTCACCCTGCTCCCTCAGCAGTAGATTTCATTGGATCTCCCTGTTCTACTCCCCACTCTGTCTCTGGGGAATCCCCTCATCCTCACCCCTCTGGCCTGCACCCCAGCTCTTGTATGCATAAGTAAATAAATCTAAAAAAAAATAAAAAGGTTGAACAAAACAAAAGAGAAAAGGATGGAAGGGTTTATTGGGTGGAGCCAGTGCCCCTGTTAGCCTGACATTCAGCCTGACTGCACTGGACAAATTGTCCTGTTTTATGCCCCACTAATTAGGTCTGAACTTGTTCTCTCACCCAAACCCCTCCCATCCTTGAGGCCACTATTTTTTTCTGTGTAAGTTAACATGAAAAGGATGAAATGCTGTAGCATTAGACATGCTGTTAGCACTAGTTAATATTAAAAGTTTTCAGATTCCTCACAGTAAAAAAATAATAAAGTACCCCTAAATTTTAAAGCATCAGAAAGATGTATTCGAGTAGGGCAAATGTTACACTGACTTTCCCAGTTTATCTTCCCCTCAAAAAAAAAAAAAAACACGGGGATTCATGAGGTTTGGGGAGCATAAACTGAGCGATATTTATGTTTTCCGGCTTGGCTATAATGGTAGGAAATATTTTTCCAGTTTTCAGGGTTAAGCGATGTGTTCCTTTTTCAGAGTGTCACATTTGCATTTAAATCCACCTGGAATGTATTTATGTTCTGGACCATTTTCTGGCTCTATTCCCAGAAAACAACGATCAGGTGTTGCCTAGCAACCACCACTTGGGCGGGAGTTGGCTTCTTTTCTGCGGGGGAGGGGCGGGGGGGCAGGAAAAAAGCCAGCGGCGCTGGGGTCGGAGTTGACGGCTCTCTCACAGTGTTGCCTAGTTACGTCGTCTCGGACGCTGTGATTGGACCCTTCGCAGGACCCTCCTGTCCCTCCTCCCTGCGCCAGCAGTAGTATCACTAGAAACTTAATCTCTCTTGTTGGAAAACAAGGGCAGCGTACTCGTTGCCTAGCAACTGGGCGCCGGGCCCCTCCCCGGGAGACTAGAGCTGGAAACGCCTGCCACGCTCAAAGATGGCGGCCGACCACGCCGTTTGCAATCTATTTCTCTCTCAACGGTGCTGCTAATAA